AAAGTTACATTTCTCACCAAGGCTGGGACTAGAGAACAAAATCTATGGCAACCTTCCCCTGTAAGCTCTTTAATAAATACTAAACTGCCTATTTAAAAGGCATAAAGTCAAAATGATGTCAATATACACCGTGTACTGCTGGTGTGTTTGCAGGGTAGGGGATGTTCTCCACAAGTGCTTCATACACTTGCCAAATAACCTACACCATGTCAAATATTCAATTTAATTTCATGTTTTATAGTTTGTTTCCAGGGAACAAATAGGGCAATTTCATCTAGTTCAAACACATTTAACTTGAAGGACCTGTTAATTCTGCCCTTACAAATACAAGGCAAGATGTAGCATGCCAAAGACAACTGATGCACCCTCTTAATCAACTCAATTATGACAGCAGATAAGTAGGAATGCAATAAAAAGTGACTGGGCAGGGCCTAGTCTTTTAAAAGCTGAACATACTATGTAAAGATTCACTTGAAATTTTCCAGTCCATAAAAATCTTCTTATATTTTGCTATAAAGGCAAAAGTCCCAGGAAGTGAAGTTGAACTTCATTATTAATGAGGACTTATTTTTGCACTCTATTATGTTCATTAATTAATTAGTCTATTTTGATTGCTATAGCCTTATAGTAAATCTTGAAATTAGGCAGTGTTGAGTCTTCATTCAGCATTTGTTACTGTTTTTTGGTTTTTTTTTTTTTTTAACTTTTCAAAGTTAAAAAAGTTTAGCTACTTTTAATTCCAAAAAATTTTTGTATACATTTTAGGATGTTCTCACTTTGTGCAAAACTACAGCCTGTTGGGACTATATTCACTACTGATTTAGAGAAAATTGCCATCCTTTTAATAAGAAGCCTTTTCACCTGGGAACAAAGCATAGCTCTCCATTTATTCTACTCTCTATTCATTAGATAGGTCTCCATTTATTTTCATTCAGACTTATTTATAATTTTTTCATATTTTTAATTTTAATTGTTAACATTACTACAAAATGGTCAGCTGAAAAATTCAATTTCTAATTGCTACTATGTAGAGATACAATTGGTTTTTTTTTTTTTGTATATCAGTGTGCAGGAGAAATTGGGTTTTTTTTACTTTTAAAAAAAATATTTGTAAGTTCCCTTGTCCATACAGTTCTGCTTCCCAATTAGCTGAGTAAGAGACCAAGCCTCCAGGTGTGGTTTGCACATTCCTTTAATCCCAGCACTTGGGAGGCAGAGGCAGGCAGATCTCTGTGAGGATAGGTTGGTCTACAAAGAGAGTTTCAGGACAGCCAGGGCAACACACAGAAACCCTGTCTTGAAAAACTAACAAAACAATAACAACAACAAAGACAGACCAAGAGCCATAGAGCTGTATAATTAGGAGAATATAATGTATTGAAACCCTAGATTAAATTCCTCCAGAAATTTCATTTCAATTGTCTCATTAAAGTTAAAGAATAACAACTACCCAATCTAGGCAAAAATGTAAAACTATGTTCCTTGCTACTTATTAAAAAATATCAAAGTTACAACACAGAACATATGAAGATGGAGGAAGAAAGACACTGCAGCAAACCACAAAGAAAAAGGTCACAAGGTGGCAGTGGTCAGGACAGATTAGAGAGGACTGGGTGCACAGAGTAGTAAAAAGGAAAGTTCCAGGCCACTAATATCAACCACTGTTCCTAAGAACTATTACAGCTCACACCCAATCATTAACAAACCTGAGTTATAGCCTAGAGACCTAGTGTACATGTTCCTCTCGAATTACCACAGAGTAACTAACTACAAAGCCAGATCATATGTGTAACCAATAGAAATCCTCAAAATGTTTATCAGTAATCATAGGGATGGTTTATACTCAGGGCACAGAGCTACAAAAAGACACAACAGAAGGAAGACAACTGCCATGTCACTGGATGGTAAGTTTCCTGCTTTCCTTTCTCTGGGGAGAAGCTCCTTTGAAGATGGTGTCTTCTAACAAGGCCATACTTCAGCATAGTAATAAAGACCTAGGTTTGAAAAAAAAAAATGCTAAAAGCTTTAGCTGAGACAGAAGAAGAACTGGGTTATTTTCTTGCTCTCTGCTCGGTAATCTCCCAGGAGGGCTGCTTCCTCCTCCTATCACAGGAATTTTAGCATGACACTGCACACCTACACTGAAAGGATGCAGAGCAACAGGCTCAAGACAACAGTGGGAAAGCCACCAACCAAACCAGAGAAAGGTTTATACAAAAGACACAGGAAGATGAAGATGGCCAAGATGGTAAGACACATTTCAGAAAAGTAAACTGTTGGGGGATATACATTTTATCTGCAAGGATATACATTCTATCTGCTTTCCCCACTAACTTTAGATAAACATATCTAAAGCATCAAGACAATCACACAGTCCATCCCCAACCAACCAATTAGTAATCATTTCATTTGTTTGCTGTATCAGAGTCACTAGGAAAATGATGCTGCATTATCAAATGCAAAGATTTCCTGTCAAACACTTGCTTTTTCCTAACAAGTAGAAATTGCCAATTGGCAATCACAATGACTGGTGATTTCCCAACTATCAGAGGAGTCAAACTTAATTTGTTCTTGCTACTGATATTATTCTGCTAGCTACTTACACTGAGGGCCATCCAGTAAGCAATCCTCACTGGATAGTGTATGAGACACCGCTGTACTGCCTCACAGTGAATTTTATAATATAGTTAATATAATAATGTGTCTTTATTGAGAAGTGCCCGTGTATTAGGCAACAACCACTGCTCAAAGATGAGGGCTGTAAATATAAGCAGCATTATGAAACTTAAAGAAGGAAACCCCCTCAGGGTACTGAGAGTAGGCAAGATGCTTCCCATGCTGTGAGTCATGGGCACTTGATGTAATGAAGAGCTGCTATCTCTCTCCCTCCTCGGAACATCTGTAGTGCTCACTGTCTCTGTCATTCCTCTGGCACACTATTTGGAAGTGGTAATTTCTCACATGCAGTCGTCTGATCCAAATCAATGCCCAAAGGGCAACAATGACAGTTTCCATTGGTTGGCCCCTCCCACAGCACCTCACAAGGGGAGGTTCTTAACATTAATTGACTATTGTTAACTGCCAATTGAGTAAGACAACTTTGAAGCATGGCTATATGATCTATACTTTGGCTATAGACTTCTACACTTTGGATTGCCTCTAATTCTGAATATTCTGAAAAAGTTTAGTGAAGCAAGAGTGTTTAAATAAACAAGTTTTGTAACTGATTTTAGGTAAAAAGAATTCTGTTATCTAGACTAACCCCAGCTATAAATAAAGGTCTGCATATATCTCAGTTAACAGTCTTCCAAGCTGCTGTGTAACATGTACTGCCCCCAACAAGCAGTCCCCCTGGGGAACAAGCAATCCCCACCACCCAGGTAACAAGCAGTCCCCCTGGGGAACAAGCAGTCTCCACCACCCAAGTAACAAGCAGCACCCTGGGTATCAATCAGCACTCAGGGTCATGGTACATTTTGTTCAAGTTCCTCCTTGGATTCAAAATCAACAGTATCAGCACCCAAGCTTCACCCACATTACTGAGCTCTGTCTCCAAACATTCTTCCCATCTGCTCTAGACTCATCTTCCTTCTGTGCTCATCCCTGTACTTCCTCAAGGAGTTCCCATGGCACATGGTGATTAGCAATTTTGTTCTCAAACTGCAGTATGCATCACAATGTCCTCAAAGACAAGTTCCTGGGTTCCCCGAGAATCTCATACTTGGGTAGGTCTGTGGTATAGGCCTGATCATTTGCATTCTAACAAGGTTTTAATGAGGCTCCACCATTGGTTCAGATCCCACATTTTGAAGACTATTTATTTATTGGCTTTTTATTTATTTATTTATTTTTTTGAAGACAAGGTTTCTCTATGTAATGGTTCTGACTGTCCTGGAACTCACTCTGCAGACCAGGCTGGCCTGGAACTCACAGAGATCCACCTGCCTCTGCCTCCCTAGTACTGGGATTAGAGGCATGCACCACCACACCCAGTCACCCAACAAAATTTTAGAGAATGATTCTTCCATTTGATAAAACTCTTCGTCCACACAGGTGGTGTGCATGTGACATGAACCACACCACAGCAAATAATTTTGGACAACCAAAGTCCAACTAACTTCATCTCCCAGATGCAATTCAACCTCCTGGACCAAGTGACCACCTACAAGAAAAACACTACTTATTCAGTCCTCACTGCCTGTGGTGCAGCAGCAGGAACTCGACCACAGCACTCGCTACCAGAAATGTTTTCTTCACTCCCTTCAAAAGGCCAACTCCTATTGAGCTCTGGAGAAACTTAATGCATGGAAGCCTTCCTTCTTTCTTTCACCCAAGTGAAATCCTCCTGTAGGGTCTTACAGAGTCACTGACTGCCCCGGCTTCATGACTTTGTTACAGTTCCATTTGCTTATATCAGTGTTTTACTAATAGTTCCTTTCTGCACTGGAACATAAGCTCCCAACAGATAGGAAGTGCTAACTGGTGCTATGGCAGACATATGAAGGGTATTCAAATTAATACCATCAGACTGAACTTTTCCAGCCCTGAGAAACATATGATGATGGCATCATTTTTTTCTAAAAACCAGTACTACTGAAACAGAAATCTAATTTCTAATAAAAAGAGGTTAAGCCGGTGTTGGTGGCACATGTCTTTAATCCCAGCACTCAGGAGGCAGAGGCAGATGGATCTCTGTGAGTTTGAAACCAGCCTGGTCTTCAAAGAGAGTTCCAGGACAGTCTCCAAACCTTCAGAGAAACCCTGTCTCCAAAACAAAACAAAACAAAAACAAAAACAAAAAAACAAAGCAAAAAAAATAGGTTAAGCCTATGACAACAATGTTTTATGATTTAATGCTGCACAGTAACTGGATTAACAAATGACCAGAAAAGTATTTTTTTAATAGCAATTTTTCTAGGTAACTATTGGTTACCAGTTTTTCAGCTACTCAACATGCCAAAAAAAAAAAAAAAAAAAAAAAGTTTTAAAACATGGACCACCTCTTCTGAATAGTTCTTGGAGACTTTCAGCACTTTGGTTTAATACAGCCCATATTTCCTCCTCCTGCAGTGGTCCACCCCGAACCTCCAGGGCCTCTGCTAGTGACACATGCATATTACCTAGGAAGTAAAAGAGAAAGTTTATTCATGAGCAAGTGAACTGTACTTTTATCCATGAAGGCTCTGTATCAGGGGCGAGCTATGCACTCCCATCTACCTAATTTCTCAGTGTGGCCTTCAATCTAAATACAAATTTAAATGTGCTGGGCGTTGGTGGCGCACGCCTTTAATCCCAGCACTCAGGAGGCAGAGGCAGGCGGATCTCTATGAGTTCAAGACCAGCCTGGTCTACAAGAGCCAGTTCCAGGACAGCTTCCAAAGCCACAGAGAAACCCTGCCTGGGGGTGGGGGGTGTTAAACTTGGAAAAAGAAAATACAAAGAAACACATTCCTTGTGTTCATTAACTGATTTCTATAATCTTTGACATATATGTTATGGTGAAAATTTTACACCGAAGGGAATTAACTATTCCTAGACTCACCTATGCTGCTGGTTCCCCCCTTGCTCCTAGGAAAGGCATTTCCCTCAGCACCTGTTTCCCATCTGTGTGGCATGATAAACAGAAGACCCAGAGACTGATATTGGTGTGCAAGCTTCAAGCTGAAGATAAGAAAAGCAAAGCAGCCAGGCACGAGTTCTCACTCTACTTCAGAATAAAAGGTGATCCTGGCTCCACCAAAACCTCAGACTGCTGCCTCTCCTCAGTATGGCTCAAGAATGAATTCCTGATATTGAGATCTTACTCCTGTCTTATATCCCTAATGCTGGGATTAACGGTGTGAGATTCCAGGTGCCTGGATCAAAGGCATAAGCTGTTACTCTTCACTGCTATGCAGGCCATGGTGGCCTTGAACTAACAGAGATCCATCTGCTTTGTCTCCTGAGCCCTGGGGATTAAAGGCGTGTAACACCACTGCCTGATCTCTATAGCTTGACACTGACTTTGCTTTCTGACTCCTCAGGCAATCTTTAATAAATTATAAATAATATGTCACCACACATCTGTGCCTTGGGAAGCCCCTTTGAGTAGCTATGATGACAAAAGAGGTTAAGCCTGTGACAATATTTTATGATTTAACACTGCACAATAACTGGATTAACAAAAGAGCAGAAAAGTTTCTCTGAGGCAGTATTTTTATAACAAATTTTCTAGTATTTTAGTAGGTGATATACAGATCAAATTCAAGATTTTCTATTGAGCTCAATAATTCTACTTTAATTTGGGAAGGAGGTAATGTAGTTTCGTTTGTTTGTTTGTTTGTTTGTTTGTTTTTGTTTTCTGCGACAGTGTTTCTCTGTGGCTTTGGAGGCTTTCCTGAACTAGCTCTTGTACTTGTAGACCAGGCTGATCTCGAACTCACAGAGATCCTCCTGCCTCTGCCTCCCGAGTGCTGGGATTAAAGGCGTGCACTACCACCGAGTGCTGGGATTAAAGGTGTGCACCACCACCGCCCGGCGGTAATGTAGTTTCTTAAAGTCCTCCCATGTGCATTTTCCTGAGCTTACAGATCTCAGAGAAATGGATCCTAACAGAGACTTCTGAGACTTTCAGTCCTCAAAGACTGACTAACCAAGATGCTACGTTAAGTGAGTACTGGCTAGCAGACAGAAACCAACATGGCCAGAAACAAGACTGGAGGAACTACATGTGTTAAAAGCCCTGTAGCCCAGCCTGGTCTACAAGAGCTAGTTCGAGGACAGCCTCCAAAGCCACAGAGAAACTCTGTCTCAGAAGGAAAAAAGGAAAAAAAAAAAAGAAAAAAGAAAAAAAAAGAAAGAAAAAAGGCACTGCAGTCATCTTAACTACACTCATTACGTATTTAAAAATTAGTCCATGACTTCAAACCTTGAGACAGTGTCTGCTTTGTTAACTAAGCTAGACCAAAACATTTCTCCTACTGCCTCAGCCTCCAAGTAGGTATAACTGCAGATATTATAACGCCCAACTTAAGCTTTTGTCAACTTTAACTCACCTAAAGTTGGAATATCATTTACATAATGTACCACTACGATTGCCAACACTTAAAAGCAATTCTTAATACTCAAAAGGTTGAATATCATCATGCTATTCATAGACTAAGAGAATTATGACATGTATGCTCAGTATTCTAGTCCTTATATTAGTTTTTTATTATGGGTAAAAAGCTGAGAAACATCAACAACCAATTACAAATGCATAGGAATCTCTGTTTTGGATTTTAAGAAACTTTAAGTCAATGGAAACTTACTTAAAAAAAAATAGTCTACAAAGACATCTGTTTAAGACAGGTGACTGTGTTTACCCAACCACCAAGGAAACAAAGGAGTACATGGAAAATGGGTAGCCTCCAGTTAGGGGAGGGAAGATAAATACAGGGGGAGGGTAACATATAATAATAAGGATTCTGTAAAACATTCAATGTGGTGTGTAAATGAAAATTTAATGATCCTTACAAGAGCCACAGACTGGCTGGCAAGAAAACAAAGCCAGGTAAGAGAAGCCCTCAGTTTCGTTGTTGGTCAAAGTTGTCCAAGAGACTCCGGAAACATAGACTAATTCTATGGTTGTTGGTTTTCTAGAAGAGGTGGAAGGAAAGTTCTGACTGTTGAAGACCCTGTCCACTTTGGATACAGGGGCCAGAGACCACGATGAATCTGACATGAATGCCTCCTCTCTGAGAACTAACTTTCACGGTACCAGAAGATATGCAAGTTTCCAAAGGAGGGAAGCAACCAGCAGTCATACGCAGCTAATGGTGCCTATGATCCACACAATGGCCAGCCAGCACAACATGATAATCCTAAGGCTGCAGTACTGGCACACATACCTTCTAGGTAACCAACAGCTCTCTAATTGAACCTAACAAGGGGAAAACATGCTGTGACTAGCCAAGGACTACTAGAAAACTTGTCTTTGCCACAAATGGAGATCATTAATAAAACCAAAACTGATGAAACTGCAAAGATGTGGAGCCCAGTCAACTGATGTATCTACAACACAACTCCTGCCTCAAAGTAAAGCTCAGGGATCATTGTGGAAGAGGCTTTGGAAGGATCATGAGAGACAGAGAGGAACACGGAGTTTGCTGTGAGATTGTGTATCTTATAAATATCAAGAAGCTACACCCAGAAAGACTCACCAGCACAGCTGCTTAAAAATGAGTAAACAGGGACATCACCAATAGATGGGGAAGGGGAAAAGCTTAAGAGGCCTCAGGCCTAGACAAAGAACTATAGGCAACTAAGGAATGCTAAGGTCGGGGAAAGTCTTCTCCAGAGAAAAACACTCCAGTTGGTTATCCAATACCAAATGGTCAGACCAGGAAACATACATATACAAGTAACATACAGACTGAGCAGGTTCTATTTATATATTTAGGAATACACACACACACACACAAAACATACACACACAAAAGCAATTCTAGCTACAAGTGAGGCCAACCTTGTCTTTTAACCTATCTATATGTATCCTGAAGAAACAAACAAAAAAAACATACTACTTGAGAAGGCTAAGTAAGAAATGAGGTTATTTACTCACACCTCTGCCCACAGCAAAGGTGTCTAGGTTTTCATGTGCTTCATTATAACAGCATATCATTATAATAGGAGAAGCACTGCTAAGAGATATGTGGGTTATTATCTTCCTCATGAAATATTTTAATAAACTGAAGTTTCAACAGAGACATCAAGATACTATTAGCAACCAGGTACTAGCATGACTTGTAAGAAGGTATACCCTGTAGCAAGTTTCCAAAGAGGCTGAGAACCGGTTGGATGGCTCCTAAGCCTACACACCCTGCATAACGAAGTTGCACAAGCAGGGCTTCTTTGAAGACAGTTGTGCTGGTTTTCATGTCTCCCCTAAAGCTGAAGGGGTGTGGGAAGGGGCCTTCCTCTCACCTCGAGGGAGTGAAACAGGTTGCACTGGGACCATGTGAAATGCTTGATGTGTTCTGTGGAGTTAGGCCAGTGTCTGATACACACTTCAGGCATTTGAAGACACTGGTTATCACCTGAGGTCTCACAAGAGTGAGGGGGCACATCTCATCAAAGATGGCCACAGTTTCATGGATGGGAGAGGGCAGAGGGCAAGTTCTGCACAGTGGAAACTCTTCCTGGAGGATGAGATATCACCAGATACAGGCAGTAATGGTAGTTAAACAACTCTGTGTAGACACCAAAGCCACAGCAGGAATACACTGAACAGGTAGGTGACTTGCAGGCTCTGTAAATTTCATGTTGAAAAGCTGTTCAAAAAACAGGTTCCTCCACACTAGGAGAGCATGGGTCCACATAACCAACTAAGTGGGGCTCATGGGGGCTCACAGAGACTGAAGGGGGACCCCTAGGGGAGAGGGAAGGTGGGGAGGAACTGGGAAGGGAAAGGGGTTTAGAAAGTCCAATAAACCAAATCAGCAGTGGAAAGCACTCACCGACATGCTAGATCAAGATGACAGAAGCATCCCAGAAAGTGAAGACGGATGAAGAATAACACTATGATAACAACCACCACCGAAACAAGCATGACCATCCTAGCACTCAAGCCCAAAAGATGGAGCTGGTAGTGTAGCTCACTTTGTCTGATATATGCAAAGTCCTGAATTTGATCAATTTATCACCTAAAAATCAGACCTAGTGGCATGTGCCTGTAGTTCTGCATTTGGGACACAAAGACAGAAATGTCAAAAATTCAAGTTCACCCTCAGTCATGTAACAATTGAGGCAAAAATTGAGATACTAGAAACCCTGTCTCAAAAATAAACAAAAACAAAAATTATTATGAAACCAAACACTTGTTTGTGGTATAAGAGAGGGAACTAAGATACAGACTAAAGGCATAGGAAACCTGTTCACAGAAACAATAGCAGAAAGCAATCAGATCTAAAAAAAAAAAAAAAAAAAAGAAAAAAAAGGAAAGAAAGAAAAAGAAATGCACATCTAAGTACATTAAGCTAATTTAACATGGCCATAAAACCCATCATAGATAAAATACCACAAGTTAGGAATAAATGAAAACTACAAGAGGCAGGAGAGAACTGTCATGTTACTTAGGAAAACTG